TATACCCTTTGGTTGGTTGATGACGCATGGAGGGGATTGGAACCATGGTGATGAGATGATATACGATGGAATGAATGTAAGACTAAGGTTCTCTCATGTAAACTATCATATAATTCACATTTTTTAAAAAATGGTCATGTTATTTTAGGCCAAACTAATTATTTTCAAATACAGAGAAAAAAGGAATTAACAACTGCAGTATTTACAACTTTTAAAACCCACCAGCAGTTCCTCAGAAACCCTATACAAGGTTGATATGAGTTAGAACAGACTCAACGGCACTTAACAACAACTATATATAAAGGAACTCTGGTAGCATAGTGGTTACAAGTAGGGCTGCTAACTGTAGTTCAAAACTAGCAACCATTCCACGGGAGAAAAAAATGAGGCTTTCTGCTCCCATAAAGATTTACAGCCTTGGAAACCCTATATAGTGTCGCTATGAGTCAGAACTGACTCTACTGCACACCACCACCACCATATGTATTTATATATGAAAAAATATGAATATATATATATTGTTGTTTTTCTTAAGTGCCGTTGAGTCGGTTCCGACCCATAGCAACCCTGTAGAGGATTTCCAAGGAGCATCTGGTGAGCTAGAACCATTAATATTGCACTTAAACCGACTTTGCAGTTTAGCACATTAAACCACAGTGCCACAGCAGGGGGGGTCCTGGTGTGGCACTGTAGGATAAGCACTGGACTACTAACTTCAAGGTTGGTGGTTTAAACCCACCAATCACTACTGGGAATCCTTACAAAGATTTTCTATGAGTTGGAACCAATTTGATGGCACTTAGCTGTATTGTTCTCTGCTCTGGGATAAAATGTTTTATGATGGTGGTGGTGTACCATGGAATTGATTCCAACTCATAGCAACCCTGCATTGGGTTTCCGACGCTATAAATCTTTACAGGAGCAGAAAGCCACATCTTTCTCCTATGGAACCACTGGTAGTTTCGAATTGCTGACCTTGAGATTAGCAGCCCGACTTGTAATAATTACAGTATTGTTTTATAGACTCTATCTAATTTGATCCTTATAAAACTTGTGTGTAGTTGTATACTGTCGTTTATTGATGACGAAATTGGAGATCCAAGAAATTAAATGATTTTGTCATAGTTATATAAGTGGCCAAGAGTCACTAAGTGGCTGATATAGGATTCAGAATCATGACATATCAGATTTTAAGTCTCTACCATTGACCTGATTCCTAACCACTACTCTACCAAAGCTCCTTACCTTACATTGTATTTGATTAAAACAGAAACAATATGTTAATAAAAATTAAAAAATGAATTGTGATGCCTACTTTTAATATGGTATTTTTCAGTAGGTCATAGCGATTAAATTAGAGTCGCATGCAAAATCACCTGTGGTGGAAGCAGTGGCAGTCTTATGAAGGCAAGAAGCATACTTAGGTCATTGCATCTCCTCTGTGTGTCGTACTTGACCCACATCATTAATGCGTGGAAAATGGTTTCTTCATCAGGAACATTAACATCATCACTGGCTAGGAGTTTATGGAGTTCTTCAGCTGGAAGAAGTAAGAACTCTTGATTTCTGATAACTTCCATTATGTTTTCCTGCAGGGAGAAATATGTTGGAATAAATTCTGTTCCACTTTTATTTAGCTAGTAAAGTAGCTCAAAAAGAAATGAGAAAAGTAGTCAATAACCTTTGTTCTCATTATAGCATAATCCTTGAGACTCAATCCTCCAGAAACTAGAAGCTGTTAAGATGAAAGCATTGTAATTGTAATTGAAGTGTAAATGTATCCGAGACAGCACAGATCTTGTAATAACTGGAGGATTATAATGTTGAGCTTTGTTATGCAGGCAGAATGTACTAAGTGATTAAATGCTCAAGTTTCAAGTGGACTGCTATGTAAGATTTGGTGAATATGAAAGAAATAACACTTGCATTTTTTTTAAAGCTTGACTACATATACATGCATAAATTAGGAGTAAAATTACATAGAGAGAAATATCATGATAGGATGTATCACGATTAATTCAAAAGGAAGAAACAAAAGTTAGGGTATGCTGTTGTTTTTGTTAAATGCTGTTGAGTAAGTTACAACTCGTGAGGACCCTGTATAGGGTTTCCAAGGAGCAACTAGTGGTTTTGAACTACCAACCTTGTTATTAGCAGTCCAGTCCTTATACTACAGTGGCAGACCAAGATCCAAAGTTAGGGCACAGAGGTTCACAGAATCCCACATGTTTTACCTTTTCTCCCACTCCTCAGAAAAATGTTTCTGGCTTACTAAAAATTCTCATTTGTTTTCTTCCAGATAGTTGCCCTAACTTCCTAATTGCTATTGCTATCTCTATCCCACCACTTGTTGGTCAGTTTGTCATACTGTGGTGGCTTGCTTGTTCCTGTGATTCTGGAAGCTATGGCACTTATATTTTAAAAACCATCAGACTCATCCATGGTGGACAGGTTTCAGATAAGCTTCCAGACTAAAACAGACTAGTAAAAAGGAGAAACAGACTACTTCAGGATATTTAGTCACTGAAAACCTTACGAATAGCAGTAGAACACTGTCAGATAACACCAGAATATTGAAAACTGAAACACGTTGAAGAGCACCAGAATTTTGTCAGATATAGTACAAGAAAATGGAACACCTAAGTTTGGAAGGCACTCAAAATATGACTAGGGAAAAGCTTCCTCCTCAAAGTAGAGTTGACTGTGAAGACAGAAATGCAGTAAAGCTTTTGGGACCTTCATTTGTTGATTGGGCACAATTCAAAATGAGGAGAAAAAGCTGTAAACACCCATTAATAATCAGAACATGGAATGTATGAAGTATGAACTAGGAAAATTGGAAGTTGTCAAAAATGAAATGAAACACAAAAACATGGATATCCTAGGTATTAGTGAGCTGAAATGGACCAGCATTGGTGATTTTCAATGCAACAATCATATGATTTACTATTCAGGGAATGACATATTGAAGAGGAATGACGTGACAATTGTCATCAAAAAGAGCATGTCAAGATCTATCACAACAATGTCTGTGATAGGATAATTCAATACACCTACAGAAATGTCGCATGAAAACGTGGAGGGTCAGAGAAAGAGGAAGATCCTCTGCTGAGGGGTGGATTGCTACAGTAGTAGCAGCAATGGGCTCAAGTTAAGGAAGAATTGTAGGACGGAGCAGTGTTTCATTCAGTTATGCATACGATTGCTATGCCAACTCGCTGGCACCTAACAACAACAACACGGAAGGTCAGATAATACAACTATTATTCAAATTTATACACCAACCACTGAAGTCACTCATGATGAAATTGAAGTATTCTATCAACTTCTTCAGTCTGATATTGATCAAATGTGTAATCAGGATATATTTATAAATACTGGCGACTGGAATGCAAAGGATGGGAACTAATGATAGAAACGATGCTAGAGATAACGTGATAGAATTTTGCTAGACAAATGACTTGTTCATTGCAAACACCTTTTTCAAACAATGTAAAAGACTACTATATACATATGGACCTCACCAGATGAAATATACAAAAATCAAATTGACTGTATCTGTGGAAAGAAAAGTGGAAAAACTTCCTATCATCAATCCAAACAGGGTCAAGGGCAGACTGTAAAACATGCCATCAATTCCTCAAATGCAACTTCAGGCTGAGGCTGAAGAAAATTAAAACAAGTTCACGAGAGTCAAAAATATTACCTTGAACATAGCCCACCTAAATTTAGAGTTCAAAGAACAGATTTGATGAATTAGAAACCAATGACTGAAGACCAAAAGAATTGTGGGATGACATCAAGAACATCATGCAGGAAGAAAGCAAAAGGTCATTAAGAAGAGAAGAAAGAAAAAAAAAGACCAAAATGGATGTCAGAAGAGACTCTGAAATTTGCTCTCAAGCAAAGAAATGCTAAAGCAAATGGAATAAGTGAGGAAAAAAAGGCTAAATAGAACATTTCAAAGGGCAGCTTGAAGAGGCAAAGTCAAATGTTATAATGAAATGTGTAAAGATATGGAGTTAGAAAACCAAAAGGGTAGAAAACGCTTAGCATTTCTCAAGATAAGGGAACTGAATAAAAGAAAAAAAATTAAGCCTCGATTTGTTATATTGAAGGATGCTATGGTCATAATATTGAAAGATGCAGAAAGTATAAAAACCAGATGGAAGGAATACCAAATAGAAATGGTCAATATTCAACCAATACAAAAGAAAGCATATAATCAAGAGTCAATCATACCGAAGGAAGAAGTTCAAGGTGCATTGAAATCATTGGCGAAGAATGAGGCTCTAGGGACTGATGGAATACAAATTGAAATCTTTCACCAAACTGAGGGTGAACACTGGAAGCACTCACGTATCCATGCCAAGAAATTTGGAAGACAGCTACCCAGAAATCTGATTGTAAGAGATCTATACTTGTGCTCATTCCAAAGAGAGGTGAACAAAAAGAATGCGGAAATCATTGGACAATATCATTATTGTCACATGCAATTAAAATGTTCCTAAAGATAATTCAAATATGACTGAAGCAGTACATTGACAGGGAGCTTCCAGAGGACCAGACTGGATTCAGAAGAGGACATAACATGAGGAATATCATTGCTGACATCAGATGGATCTTGACTTAAAGAAGAGAATGTCAGAACGAAGTCTACCTGTGTTTTATTGACTATGTAAAAGCTTTTGATTGTGTGGATCATGACAAGCTCTGAACAACACAGAGAATGAGTATTCCAGATACTTAATTGTGTTCATGAGGAGCCTGTACAAAAACCAAGAGGCAGATGTTCAAACAATACAAGGCAACACTGAAAGATTTAAAATTAGGAAAGTTGTGTACCACGGTTGTGTTCTTTCACCATACTTATTCAATCTGTGTGCTGAGCAAATAATTTGAGAATCTGGATTATTTGAGGAACATCATGGCATCAGGATTGGAGGAAGACTCATTAACAACCTGCGATATGCAGATGACACAACCTTGTAGTCTGAAAGGAAAGAGAATTTAAAATGCTGATGAAGATCAAAGATGACAGCCTTCTGTATGGGTTGCACCTTAATGCAAAGAAAACAAAAATCCTCACCACTGGCCCAATAAACAATATCAAAATAAATAGAGAAAAGATTGAAGATGTCAAAGACTTTATTTTGATCAGATCAACCATCAACACTCACAGAAGCAGCAGTCAAGAAATCGAACGATGTATTGCATTAGGTAAATGTGCTGCATAAAACCTCATTAAAATATTCAAGAGCAAAGATGTCAATTTGAGGACTAAGGTTCACCTGGCCCAAGCCATGGTGTTTTCAATAACCTCATATGCATGTGAAAGTAGAACAAGGAATAGGGAAGACTATAAAAGAGTTGATACATTTGAGTTATGGAATTGGAGGTGAATATTAAAAGTACCATGGACTACAAAAAAAGAAAAAAAAAAAACTATGTTGGAAGAAGTTTAGCCAGAATGCTCCTTATAAACTCCTTTGTCTCTCATACTTTGGAGATATTATCAAGAATGACCAATCACTGGAGAAAGACATCATGCTTGTTAAAGTGGAGATTCAGAGGAAAAGAGGAAGATCCCCAAGGAGATGGATTGGCACACTGGCAGCATCAACGCGAGCTTAAGTGTAGCAAGGATTGTGAGGTTGACACTGGACCGGGCAGTGTTTCGTTCTGTTGTGTATAAAGTCACTATAAGCCTGTACTCACTCGAGGACATCTAACAACAAAAACAACTTCCATCCTTAGCTTCTCAATGGTATCTTCCATAGTGATTACAGAATGACGTTTCTCAAAGATAAATATGATCATAGCACTACTCTGAAGTTTTGTTTCTTTGATTTGCTTTAGTTTTGGTTTCTCCTTGTCTTTTTTTCAAACCTCTTTATGCTCTCTGGCTCTTCAGGATCTGCCCTCTTCTTGCTCCTAATACTTCATTTGCTCTCTTTTGTCTTTTTTGTTTTTATTTGAATTTCAATCCCAAGAATTGTGTCACAAATAAATTATTTCAGTTTAGCAATCTGTTAGGCATGTCCTCTTCTCCTTTGTCCACTCCATAGTTTTACATGTCTGTATCCACTCTTTTTTTCTGAATTCCTTTTACTTTTCAAGATTCTCTTCAAGGGTCATCTCGTATTCACTGAGCCCTCTCTTGACTCCCAGCTGTTCTGGATATATTTATTTCATTTCACAGTGTGTGGTGTGAACATCCGTGAGACAACAGTTACTAAACTGAGCTTAAACTTTGTTCACCAAGAGGGTCTTATCACAAACTCTAAACTACTTGGGACCTAGGCTCTGATGTATTAAACTGTGTATATCTATGGCACTTGGCATAAAGTCTGAAACACGGAAGGCACAGGTCATTTATTTATTGAATAGGTGGATTGGTGATCTTTTTTGACAAAAATAAATGTGAGAGACAGTATAGAATTCTGTTTTTCAAGCAGTTTAAAAATTTTTTATTGTTAGTTACCTTTAAATTGGTGCCACCTCAGGGATACCTCACACACAACACAATGATGTCTCCTCCAGCATCATTTTCACGCTCAGTGTCCTGTTTGTGTTCATTGTTGATGGC